TCAACTTATCTTTTGCATCAGCTCTATCTAGCTTTAGCTAGAAATAAATATTCTTGAGGGTAGGTTATTCTCAGACACAGAAATAACCTCTATATACATAACCATTCTATGCGTCTATGGTTGGCCCAAAATGCTTCTAACTGCTCGATGACTTTCAGTCTAACAGATAAAAGGCTAGTAGCGATACCAGCACTTTAAGGCCCACTCCTAGCTAGATGTGAAAATATTAGGCATAACATATATCAGGATTATTGTGATGAAAGCTTGACTCTTTTTATTTAGAAGAACCCTTATTTGGGCCTCGTACTAACAATCTTTCTGTAACCAGACTAATCTTTCTGTTAGGATCTGATATCCATGTACCGTAGAAATTGGCGAATAAGCCGGTCCGAATACGAATAGGGATATCTAATATATTCTCTGCAAAAACAATTACTTCAAGTATTGAAATATGCTGAAAATTAGAAACGTCTGAACCTAATATTACAGGATCTATACATTTCACCTTTTTGCATCCGCCATACAGCCCAAACACCCACTTCATGAACCTAAAGCAAACAGGCAAGCAAGGCAAGCAGAAATCTAAACTCTAAACCCATCAAGCTTTTTCCAGGACCCGTTACCACCCACCCGACTACCCCTCTCACACAATCATAGAATCCAGTAATCTAATACCAAATACTTCTCGTCCTATGGTGCGGAATCGTCGCCCCCTTCTCTGCCGCCTCCCTATCCTCCCAATTCCCCCCCTTCCCCATTTTCTTCCCGACCTCCAACGCTCCTCCAATCACCCTCCTCAGATCCCCCATTAGAATATTCTCCTCCCCATTCCTCCATCTCTCCTCCTCCTCCCTCTCAATCGCCTTCTTCTCCATCTCCTTCGCCGTATCGTACAGATAGAAATCGATCAAGATCGAGTTTATCCGCCCTCTACTCTCAGGGTGTCGGCGCTCGATAGTTCGTTTTATCATCTCGATGCACCATATCGAGCATCCACGAATTTGAATCTCATAGGAGTGACCCGTGGGGATGGGGATGAGATTATGGATGTGGGAGGTTAGAGAGGGGGAGTACCTGAGGCAGGAGAGGGTGTGTAGCATTACGGGGACGCGGTAGTCTGCGAACATGGTGATTGTGGAGATGTCTGAGAAGGTGCCGTAGGAGGTTTTGTTGAAGCAGGCCCAGATATCTGGAGGGATGAGGACTGAGTTAGTTGGGTTGGGATTTTTAGGTAGTAATGAAGAGTAGGTTATTACCTGCAACGAGGATTTGAGCTCGCTTGTAGAAATGTACGGTCCTTGCGGTCCCGCCAGAAGGTGCCCATTGATGAGAATCATCAAAGCAAGGGAAATTCTCAGCCAGGAGCATGACTAGCGCAGAAGCGGATTCGTTGGCTTCGGTAACCATGTGTGCAAATCGTCCGTCATATCTCTATCAATTTCAGTCTCCTTATTCGCAAGTGACAAATCCTAGGGCTTTACCTTGCACAAGACTTCTCCAGCCTCCCGTAAACAAGCTATTCGTTCGTCTAGTAGAGGAATATCCTCTTCACTGTCGGACCGGAAAACATGTCGTAGCAATTCGTCGGGGCAGATTTGCTCATCAACCCAAAAGTATGGAGATGTTATAGGTATTCCTGTGCTCAAAAGGTTCAATAAATGTTTCTCAAACCTACAGCCATTGTGTAGGAAGGATATACCTTCATCCAACGCCCTCTGCAGCGTTGCCACAATACTCCAATACCCCGTCCACTTCTTTCCCCTGTATTGAATACTAAATCTCTTGTCCTGGTTCAATTCCGACCAGAAACTAAAATTTAGCAAGTCCAGGGTGAAGATGAAGTTGAGTGTCTCTTCATTCTTCTCCTTGGGATGGATTTCATGTTCAGACCACGTTTCCGTGGAGTATCCCTTTTCCTGCATAGAGAACCAGATTGAGTCCGCGGCTTCAATGATATGCTCCCTCTGTAAGGCAACATCGATCGCATTATCGGCAATGAATTCTGCATCACGGAGGGCACGAGTGTCGACTTTGGGTGCTTTTTTGCTTTTCAAAGTCAGATGCGACCTGAGGAGTGCGAGAAGCTCCAAGTCAGGCTCGTCTTCATCAGACGAATACATGTTTTTTTTTCGCTCGAAGAGATGTGCAATTGTGAACTCGAGAGTGCTGCAGGGATTCTAGTGAATAGCTAAAGAGAGTTGGGGTTGAACGAGTCAACTAGATGGGAATACTTTTTCTTCTGTATGCAATTTGGCGTGTAAGTAAGGCAGCAGTTCGAGGGGCTTGGAGTATATAGGTATATAGGTAAAAACCCGTGAAAAAAGGAATGAGATGAGTTGTATGGTTATTAACCATATAAAGTTCTCGGTGGGCGGTGCCAGAAAAGCTTCTGTTCCCGAGCAAGGCAGGAAATGACGGTAAAAGGGAAAGATTGTGACACGAAGGCAAAACAAATTTATTCGAGACTTGCATTGGAGATCAAGGGGCAAGAACCTGGGACAGATGCGACTGGGATGTCCGGTACTGTACGGTACCTACGTGATCTCCTGCACGTACGGCGGATTTAATATTCCGACAGAGCCCACCCATTATTTGTATGAGACAACTTGTGAGGCTCTTTGTCCTTTGCGCTCTTGGCACCGTGTTGCTCGTACAACTCGAAAGCTGCGACGTAGCAAAGCAGCAGCAGTCTCACCGACAAAAAAATGGGCCTCGTCAGGTCCACAACCGCGGCCGTCTCAGATCCCAAATACTCCAAATACCTCGCCCCACTACTCCTCATCGCCGATGCCTGCCTCTCGAGCTTCATCCTCTTCAAAATCCCATGTAACCACCCCCCCCCCCGACCCCTTCCCACTTGCAACTGTACCCAATTCATTGACCTCTGCTCCATTAGACACAGAAATCGACTGGAAGGCGTATATGGAACAAGTCGCACTCTATCTCAATGGAGAATCGGATTACGTAAAGCTCAAGGGCGGGACAGGCCCGTTGGTGTATCCTGCGGGGCATGTCTATGTGTATAGCTGGCTGTATAAAATCACGGATCAGGGGAGGGATATTTGGAAGGCGCAGTGTGTGTTTGTGGGGTTCTATTTGTTGATGCTGGCGCTGGTGTTGATGGTTTATATTAAGGCGAAGGTATGTGGACCAAGATCCCGAATTCTCCCCCAGTGAGAATGAACAAGCAAGGCAGCTGACGAAATAGATGTGATACGAACAACAGGCCCCACCATATATTCTTCCTCTCCTAATCCTCTCCAAGCGCCTGCACTCCATCTACATCCTCCGCCTCTTCAATGACACCTTCAACCAACTCTTCTTCTTTCTCTCTCTTCTCACCTACCAAAGCCGGTTGTGGACCCTTGGCTCCCTTCTATATTCCCTCTCCGTCTCCATAAAAATGAATACGCTCCTCGCCCTCCCTGGCATTGGCATCGTCCTTCTGCATGCCCTCGGCCGGGACCGCGCCGTCGGTCAAGCAAGTATTATGCTCCAAGCTCAAGTCATCCTCGCCTGGCCCTTCATCAGCACAAACGCTAAAAGTTACCTCACCAGAGCCTTCGAATTTTCCCGAGTCTTCCTCTGGAAATGGACCGTAAACTGGCGGTTCCTTGGACGAGAATGGTTTCTAAGCAAAGAGCTGAGTTATGGGTTACTCGCTGCGCATGCTGCGATCCTAGGGTTCTTTGTAGTAACTAGGTGGATCCGACCAGCTAGATTGCCCCTACGAGCGTTTTTAATCACATATCTACTCTCTTGGGATCTTCCCCAGCAAGGCTCGCCCCGCTCGTTACATGCATACCAGCTCTCGCAAAGAGTTACACCTAGGTTTATCGCAACTACTATCCTGACATCAAACTTGATTGGTGTCCTCTGCGCAAGAAGCTTGCACTATCAGTTCTACAGCTGGGTTGCATGGGGCACACCGTATCTTCTATACAAAGCCAACTTCCACCCCATAGTGATTTATGCCTTATGGGCGGGGCAGGAATGGGCATGGAATGTATATCCGAGTACGAAAGCGAGTAGCATAGTAGTTGAGAGTGTGTTGGCGGTGACGGTTGTTGGTGTATGGTGGGGGACTAGGAAGGGGGATGATGAGAGAGCTGAAGGTGAAGGGAGGAGGTTGGGTAGGAGATTGAAAAAGGAGCAATGAATTGCCCTTCGATAAATGTTCCAATTTTTGGATCGTAGACTGCATAAACCTGCTGTCATGGAGACAATCCTCTTTATAATAGTTAATCTAGTTGATGATCACTACCCATGCCAAACTGGATGCAACAGGACATAAATATTCGGCGACTAGGGTTTTGAACCAAAATATGGCTCATGACAAATAATGTAGAAGAATACATAAGCATACTCCGATTGTACGTACAGGTAAAAGGTAGTATCAAACTCTACTCCCAATGTGTACAGATAAGCTCGAGAGATATAAGGTATTGAAGCGGTTTTTGGATTCGATGAATTTTGTGGCATCACTATACTCAAGCTTGGCCTGGAAACTATTAATGGGATTCTTGTATCAAGAGATATATATATATATTGGCTTGTATTTAAAATGGCCCCGGGTTTAGCCAGAACTACACACTGCTGTGATGCCGCAGCCAATAATAGGGTGCTACAGCAAGGTTTACTTACTTACAGTACCTCCACGATGAAAGTTCTACTTACTATTCTAAAATATTCAGAACAATCCTTTACAACACCAACAACAAAAAAAAAAAAAAAAGCTCTAAGCATTCAGCCCGCAACCTCTAGGTACAACCTCCTCCTCCTCCCTGGAAAATATTCCTCACGCAACAGTTGTATCTTATTACTCATCTATACGGAGTAGTACGATTTCAGATTTCTTTTAATAAAAAAAAAAAAAAAAAAAAAGGATTCATACGCAAGATAACCCGATTACCACTTCTTTCCACTACTACACGGCAACATGACCGGCCCAACTATGTACATACATACATATATGAGCCATAAGCCCACCATCACATCAAGGCAAGATGGCCGAGTTGGTTATGGCGCCAGGTTAAGGAAGCCCTTTATCCTTAGCATACTATATCCTGGTAGGGAAACCTGCGTGGGTTCAAGTCCCACTCTTGTCATATATCTTTTTTTTTATTTTTTATGAAATTCTTTTATTGTTTTCCCCTTTTTCCCCTCCATATATACAAGGCGGTGGTTTTCTAACAGAGAAAGAAATGTGGTACTATATGCAAGAGGGAAATTTGGCTTGCAGATGTTCTCGGTCCCAGACTCTTGGCGGTGATAACTTTTATCTGCAAGAGTCTGGTACTAAACTGCTCCGAAACTGCACTCGCTAGCATCTCCGAGCGTTTTGAGCTCGGAGATGCTAGCGCGTGCATAGCCTGTTTTCGGAGCTACTAGCGTTGTTTTGAGCTGCATATTTCATAAGCATACACAATTGTCATAACGACAACAGCAGAATAAATGTCTACCAAAGCATTCGTTCGGGATTTCGTTCATTTGAGAATGTATTATCTCTAGTTTTGAGAGTTGGACAGGATTTAGTTTGACTCGATTTGATATTATCTTTAGTTTTGAGAGTCGGACAGGATTTGGTTTGACTCTTGATTTACAGAGGCACTAAGAGTCTGGTCATGAGAGCAAGGATATCTACTGTCTTGGAGCAGCGATTTGATCTCGGAGCAAGATTTTCTGTGGCTATACTAAGTAACCTATAAGACTAGAAAGCTAGAAAGCTTAGGTTTTCAATGGGTTGGTCTTAGTTGGAGGGGTTATGAGTATCAACTATCTACTATATTATAGTCTCGAGGCAGTAACTTGATCTCGGAGCAGCATTTACTTTGGCTATTCTAAGTAACCTATGAGACTAGAAAGCTAGAAAGCTGCTCCGGGCTCAGGTCTACATCTTAATGGGTTGGTCTTAGTGAAGGTGCCTTATATGCTTGCTCCGGACAATATAGGCTTCCTCGGTGGTGTCTTATACTCCAGGCAATATATGCTTGCTCGGTGCCTTATATACTTGCTCCGGACAGTATTGGCTTGCTCGGTAGTGCCTTATATGCTTGCGCCGGACAGTATTGGCTTGCTCGGTGGTGTCTTATATGCTTGCTCGGTACCTTATAGGCCTGCTCCGGGCAATATATTCTTGCTCAGTGCCTTATATGCTTGCTCCAGGCAATATATGCTTGCTCAGTGCCTCATATGCTTGCTCCGGGCAATATAGGCTTTATAGGAGCAAGCCTGTATTTCCCGGAGCAGGCCTATAAGGCACCGAGTGAGCGTATATTGACTAGAGCAAGCATATAAGACACCACCGAGCAAGCCAATACTGTCCGGAGCAAGCATATGAGGCACTGAGCAAGTATATATTGCCTGGAACAAGCATATAAGACACCACCGAGCAAGCCAATACTGTCCGGAGCAAGCATATGAGGCACTGAGCAAGTATATATTGCCTGGAGCAAGCATATAAGGCACTGAGCAAGAATATATTGCCCGGAGCAGGCCTATAAGGTACCGAGCAAGCATATAAGACACCACCGAGCAAGCCAATACTGTCCGGCGCAAGCATATAAGGCACTACCGAGCAAGCCAATACTGTCCGGAGCAAGTATATAAGGCACCGAGCAAGCATATATTGCCTGGAGTATAAGACACCACCGAGGAAGCCTATATTGTCTGGAGCAAGCATATAAGACACCACCGAGCAAGCCAATACTGTCCGGAGCAGGCATATAAGGCACTGAGCGAGCCTATATTGCCTGGAACAAGCATATAAGGCACTGAGCAAGAATATATTGCCCGGAGCAGGCCTATAAGACACCACCGAGCAAGCCAATATTGTCTGGAGCAAGCATATAAGGCACTGAGCGAGCCTATGTTGCCCGGAGCAAGCATATGAGACACCACCGAGCAAGCCAATATTGTCCGGAGCAAGTATACAAGGCACCGAGCAAGCACATATTGCCTAGAGCAAGCGTATAAGACACCACCGAGCAAGCCAATACTGTCCGGAGCAAGCATATGAGGCACTGAGCAAGTATATATTGCCTGGAACAAGCATATAAGACACCACCGAGCAAGCCAATACTGTCCGGAGCAAGCATATAAGGCACTGAGCGAGCCTATGTTGCTCGGAACAAGCATATAAGGCACTGAGCAAGAATATATTGCCTGGAGCAAGCATATAAGACACCACCGAGCAAGCTAATATTGTCTGGAGCAAGCATATAAGACACCACCGAGCAAGCCAATACTGTCCGGAGCAGGCATATAAGGCACTGAGCGAGCCTATATTGCCTGGAACAAGCATATAAGGCACTGAGCAAGAATATATTGCCCGGAGCAGGCCTATAAGACACCACCGAGCAAGCCAATATTGTCTGGAGCAAGCATATAAGGCACTGAGCGAGCCTATGTTGCCCGGAGCAAGCATATGAGACACCACCGAGCAAGCCAATATTGTCCGGAGCAAGCATATAAGGCGCTGAGCAAGTATCTACAAGAGTCTGGGACCGAGAACAGTGTTCCGGCAGTGTTCCGGAATGTTTTTGTTGAGATGTTCAAAAATCAATTTCCATTCAAAAACAAATACTTTTCTATATAGTATTACATATTCTGCTCCGAAGCCACTAGCGTATTGCATAGTTTCCACGCTAGTTCCTCCGAGCTCGGAGGAACTAGCGTGGCAATTTCGGAGTAGGTTACTACCAGACTCTTAGCCGTAGCACTAAAATAATTACAGCGTAGGCACTAAGAGTCTGGTCACGAGAGCAGCTTGCAGATGGGATGGGAATAAAGCAGGGAAAGTTGGTTTGTCAAGTGTTAAATCCTGAAAATATTTGGTAGTTATTTCCTGTTTTGGTTAGTGTAGGCTACTCTTTTACTTGTGGCAGGCTGGAAGCAGATACATTTTCATAGTCACGTATTGGCCTTCGCAATCATTCGAGCGACATAGCTCTAATCTTTTTGCATCCCTATCAGGTATCCTGCAATCTAGAACATTTCTCTCTGCCACATCCCCCGAGCACACTCCCTCCCCACCTTCTTTCAAAATTCTCCACTATCCACTATTCCACCCCCTCCCTCGCCTTCGCAATAACCTCTGCCCCCAATCTCTCCAAATAAAACCTGCTCACCCACTCAGGCAACCCCTGAAACTCCCTCACTATCTTCCCCAGCACATGTCTCCCCCTCTCATACGCCACCAAATCCCGATTTCCATAAACGTCCTTCCCAGGCGCATACCTTTCGCTATCCAGATCCCTAAAAAATACATTTACTGCCACGCATGGCGTGACAGGCAACGCTGCGTGCGGGAAAACCGGTGGAATGAAGATCGCGTCACCGGGCTGTAGGAGGATATCGTAATCTGGCGGTACGAACTTCGCATGCTCACTCGCAGTAGTGGTAGCGGTGGTGCTAAGGTCAGAAAATGGATTGAGGATAGTAGCAGAACTACTTCCCCCCGGAGGGAACCCTAGCTCCAATGCTCTATGAGGATGCCATAAGCGGAACCTCTTTGTCCCCACGACATGGAATAGAACGTTCGCGGTTACGTCAAAATGTAACCACATGCCAACATCCGCAGAGCTAATCCTCAGCGGGGACGAATGTAAATTGTCCTGTACAAACTTCAATTCCGATGGGAGGTTGAAATCACATGCAAGCTCTGGGAAATCCATTTCCAAGTTCGCAGGCTGCTTCGCCGGGGAGCTGGCGGAGATAGAGCGGAGGTATAGGCCCGGTTGTGAGGCGGAGGAAAGAGCAGAGGAGATAGCGTTGATGAAAGCGCCAAAAGTGATTTTCTCGTAGGTGAAGTTTTTGGTGGTGAAGGACATTTGGGAGGTGGTTGAGGAATGAACGATGATTTGTCTGTCCTCACCGACACGTTTTTTGAGATACTCCCAATTCCATTTCTCCACGCAGGTGCCAAAACTTATCCCCTCGAGGATAGCGGGTTCACCATTGGCAATAAGAGCGGCAAAATCCTCACCAGAGTTTATTCGTACTCGCAGGATATCTCTGCATTGAGAAAGAGATTTCAATATACCATTCAGTAAAGGTGTACCGTATGTCGTTTGGCTGCCTTCAGGTTTCCTCGCGAGTATTGCTGGAGATTCCGTAATCAGCCCATCCACTTCACGCGTTGCCTGTGATAGCAATGCCTCAGGTTGGTCTGCATCCCTTGATACAGCCAGTACATTTTCATTCCACTCCGCTCCAAAACTGAAACAGACAGCTCCACCCCCTGCGAGTATCAGCGTACCTCTGATAAGGCATGCAGTGAAACCCACTAACAGTGGTGAATGCTCTATAGAAATTGCATGCGTGCCAGTTACCCTGATATCATTGCTAACATCTATGGTCACAATTGTTTCAGGCGTCCTCATGAGCGAACCTCCAGATACACCTCCAATGAGCAATAACTCCATGTCGCTTATTTTCACGAGCTGTGCTCCAAACCTCCATAGCAATCGCTTGGCCTGTGGATGGAGTGTAATTTGCTCTACAATAGCTTCCGTTTCGTTCCACATGATTTTCCACATATCATGCAGCACATTTTGGTCCCCGTCAATACCTCCAGTCATGATTGCCACTCCACCCGCTATAGTACACATCGAAGCTGCGAACCTCGGAGGCGGGGTCATTTCATTAGATCCCTGTGCATTAATAACACTTAGCTGCGACCATGTTTGCTTCTCTAAGTTGAAGACATGCCAGTCTCCTAGCACCTCGTTTCCTTCTCCAATGCCACCGAATACTAAAACCTCTTTCCTAGATTTATTGGCAACAGCACAATGGCGGAATCGGGCCCTAGGAAAAAGTGGTCCACATGCGAATAGTCTCCACTGCCCTTCTGGGTATTGCCATTGCTTCCATTTGCCACTACCATAGAGCCATGTGTCACCCAGCACGTTAGTTGGGGCTGTACGGCCACCGAAAAGCAAATGTATGTTCTCATCTATTTTAGTCAAAGTGTGACACATCCTGGCCTTGGGAGAATGGTCCCTGTTTGGTTTTTGTGTGGATAAGCTTGTTGAAGAAATGACTGTGTGTTCATTGGTACGACCAGCGACGGTCAAACCACCATAGTGCATGATTGCGCTCTCATTCA